CGCTGTCCCGCAGGAGGAAGAGAGACACGGAGGGCTTCGGCGAGGAGTCGAGGGAACCCACGACCGGTAACGGAGGGGACCCGGGAGCCGCGGAGCGGGGTCTGGGCACAGCCAGCCTGCGCCCTTACCCCTGGACCGCCTCTCTGCTCGGGGTTGTCTAAATACATACAGGAACGGGCGTTTTCTGAAGGAAATTCTTGGTTAAAGCGTTTTCAAGGCGCCGAAGTACAAGTTTAACCCCATCTTGTTTGGATGCGAATTACTCTGTGGCAGGAGTAACTGGTTTACTAAATTGCAACCTAAAATTTTCCTCCGTGATGTTTGCATACAGGCATGACAAACCTAACTGTTGATCCCAAATTGGTGATTCGAGAAGAAATGCAAACCCACACATTTCTTTCTGCATTTTTGAACGTAGGTGCCTGTGCTACAGAGGTAACGCTCTGCTTACAACCCGATTCCCATTTCGCTGTGTATGCACCTGCATTGCTCCTTTCTGTCTCCGCTCACTGGTTAAAAGTGGCAGGAAGGCTGGAAACTACAACAGAGGGCTGTCCTTCCCTTTTTAATAGCTTGACCCCTTTTTATCCTTTATTGTTTATTTTCCCACACGCCCTTAGTAGGGATGCACCGAACATATATGGATCGTTTACCTAATACTTCAGCATCCAGTTTTTTGTTCGCTGACCTTTTGGGGTTTTTTTTCTGTGTCAGAGTTGCTTATATTTTTCAGGCAGCCCTTAGTAGGGATGCACCGAACATAGTATGGATTGTTTACCTAATACTTGTTCGCTGACCTTTTGGGGCTTTTTTCCTGTGTCAGAGTTGCTTATATTTTTCAGGCAGTGTCGAAAATGCGACTTGTCAGTGTATTGGGTATTTTTAACGTCAAAGGTTTCTTCTCTTGATTTTTAGGTGATAATATCAGAGAGTTTTTGCTGAGTCTCAGGTATTTTCGAATCTTCATTGCCTTGTGGAATGTCTTCATGATGTTCTGCATGATTGTGTAAGTTAACGCTGTGTAGCATCTTGTCATTTGTTTATAGGAAGTCATACGTGTTGGGATTTTTCTTGCACATATATTTCTTTTCAGATCTCTTTCTCTCCCACTCTATTGTTCCCTAACTCCTTTTCATTTCACTTATTTCAGTCTTTAAAGAGACGTTGGCTGACCTCGTACTTCTTTGCTAATATGGGCACCTGTAGTGCATGAAAACCTCTGCCAGCGTGCGAGTCATTTAGCCTTAGATATAGTGTTCCTTGTCATGGGTTGCTTAAATAAAACATCATTGGGGTCAGCATTTCAGTTTAACTTTCGGGATGTTTTTCATTTTGCGGGGGGGAAAACCCACCAAGTAATAGAATGGAATCAGCCTTGAGAATAGTCTCTGGAAAGAGGTTTTGGTTCTGACAGGGAGGCTAGCAGGCTGCTTTCCTTTCACTTCTGTAGCTCTATGGTCTGATGTGTGGGGGAGCAAAATCGATCTCCAGATGTGCAGCAGAGTTCTGAGTTGGAAGGGCATTGGCACGGCTGTTAACAGTTGTACCCAGTTCTCATCTACTTTTTCTCTGTTGCGTCCGCTAGGTTATTTGGATCTTGAAAGTCGTCCACAAACATGTCTGTTAACTTGGAAGAGACTTTTGGCTGGAAACATAACTTTTCTATAAAGTAAACGATTATAATGCTTTCAAAATACAGCCCTGGGATTGTGGCCTGTTCTTCGGTACAAGCTCCTAACACGCTCAAGGGACAGGAGACGTTCGTCCTCTTCAGCCGGTCGTGCAATAATACGGTGCATGCCGGTTCGCTTGCTGCCGGCGGGATTGAGCCTTTAGGCCCCCGAACCAAAATCTTCAAAGTAAAATTATTTCAACTTTGCTGAAATAAAGAGAACTTTAAACTGTTTTGCTAGGCTTAGAGTGCAGTGCCTAGTATGCAGAGTAGAATTGCGGCATGGCTGAAGACCACAGGCTTTAAAACTCTGGTGTTAGTTGCTCCCAGCTCCTGATGTGTCTGCTGATGTCACCATTGTCGAGGTTACTTGGAAGTCGTACTTCTTAATTCTCCTTTTTATAAAGTTGAGCAAAGCATTGGTGTAACTTCTCACCGTTCCATCTAGTTTTGTTGGAGAAATAGAAAAGGATGATTAAGAAAAATTGGATTCTCACCTTCTGTTTTTCCAACAAAATGCTTTTTAAATTAAAATTTCAAAGATAAGATTTTTTTTTCTAAGCAATATGTAAGGGATTTTTGCATAGGAAAAACAGCAAAAATAATTCTATAAGCCAATCCTAAGGAATAGTTTTGGAATAATCTTGGATTTGGTTGAATAAAGTTGTTCTGTTTAAGGGTAAAATATTTAATTCCGTGTTCATTCTGTTACAGGAGAAATCAATTCAGTATTGGTGTGTTTTGAGAAATTTTCACTAGTCTTGTAATTGTCTGGCTTCTTGTGTTATTTATGTTAAGTTAGCCTCTTTGACCAGCAACTTTTCTCCAGCATCACCAAGACAATTTAAGAGAGCGTGCCGTGCTGGGTATCTTTTAAATCAAACCGTAAACTGTTGGTGGGGCTTCCTCGGCTTCGGTTTCTTTAGCTGTCCGACTGTGGAGAAGGAGCGAGAGGCCTCATTTAAATGATTCTGAGGCTCAGGTTTTAGCGAATACCTTGAATTTTAATCCGGATGCAGTCGGGTAGTCAGGCACAAGTGGTGGGCACTCGCAGCAGTTTACTCGAGCCACCCTCTTTTGCATTACCTGAAGTTTTTATGCTTGCTTTTGGGGAAAGATAGTTTGAGGGAAGATGCCTTGGCGTAATGAAAATAGAAAAGGGATCCTTCGAGTGCGGTTTGTCATGGCATCCAAACAAAATCCAGTGCTTTTATATAGTTCTTGGAAAACATTTTCTCCCTAATAGCCATTAAACCAAGTCTTCCCCTGGAACGTAAAGGGGAGGGGTGGAAGCGGCCGTCGCCGTCTGTGCGTAACCCGCCGGAGGCCCCTGGACTCGGCACCGCAGCACTCGGGCTCGGATTCGGACTAGGGGGTTTCATTCTTCCTTGGAAAAATGGTTGATCCTGTGCAGAACTGGCATTCTGCTTTCTGAGCAACGCTTTGAATATGGTGAATACAAGAAACCGAAGACGATCAAGCTCTACTGGTAAAGGAACACAGACAATTTCATCGCTCTAAATAGGTTATGTGGCTTAATGGCGCTGCTGCCACCTCAAGATTTCAGTTGTTCAAAAGAATAAAAGTTGTCATTCGGCCCCTAAGCAGGTGCTTTAAAAATGCCTAGTTAGTTCTGAGCTGCTCTTAAATGCTTTGGGAAGTGTAAATGCTGGGCCGATCGCTGGTTGCCTTTCACTAAGGGTTTGTTGTTGTACGGCTGCTTTTGTGCCGAGTCCATTTTTGTATTACAAGCTTCTGAAAACCTGACTTGCTTTTTTTAATTGTGGTTTCTTCCGAATCAAGGAGAGGACAGAAGTGAGAAGGCAAATACGTCTTTGTAAAGAACCATTCGCTCCGGTTTTGTACGGTTAACTCTTTCCAGGTAACGGCTGGAAGTTTGTAATTGTTGCCTCGCCCGTTATTCTGAAAATAATGAAAATGTGAAGTTCTGCCGCTTGGCAAAAACTTTTAGTCGTCGTGATTTTTTTCCAGAACACGTCGGATTCTATGACTTTTCACGACTGAAAGGACCACGGTGCCTTCCCGGGAGCCCGAAAGCCGGCCGCGTACGGTGCGCGTACGGTGCGCCGGGTCTGCCGTGCCCGCGCAGCGATGGTTTATCTATTGATTCACTCAAACCCAACCCCCCGCGGGGGCGGGTCCCGGCGCGCGTCCGGGGCCGCCTCCCGCCTCC